AAAAAAAAAAAAAAAAAAAAAAAAAGGAAAAGGAACGAAAAAAGAAAGTTATGATGCTGCATGGAAAAAAAGGAAACATTCAACATCCTTGGAAATGTAAACTAGCTCAACCATTAGGAAAGTCACTGTAGAAAGTATTTAAAATGATAATAATTATTCCATTCAATGCAGTGCTTCCTATTGTGTGTATCTTCCCCAAAGATAACATTCCAGTGATACATACATATTCCTGCTTTTTTGTTTTTTGGGGCTTTTTTCCCCACGAATTTGGTTCAGGGTCTGCAAGGTCTACAGGGTCTCACAACGTAGATCATACTCCTGTGTTCAGCCTCCCAAGCGCTGGGATTACAGGCATGCGCCACCACACCCAGTCTCAATCACCAGCCATCTCAGCGTGATCTAGGGGCAGGGCCAGCACAGCACACTAGGAATCGAAGCCCAGTTGCTGTGCTCTGCCTAAGCGGGTGCTTTAGTCTGCTGAGCTATCTGGCCGGTCCTTATCCATATTCCTGCTTACTGCAGCAATACCCACATTTTTGTTGTGTAGCAGCAGAGAGCCCTGCTCTGTTAACCACCAGATACCAATAGTAAACAAGTACTCAAGTGTATTCTATTTAGTAAATTATATGTGGCATTTTATATTTTGTTATGAAACAAGATGTGTTTCATAACAAACACTACAGGTCAATATAAGCATGACTATTAGCATGTAAATATAGCAAGGGAAGTCATAATGTTCATTATATTCAGTGTATTAAATGCATATTCAATATTTTATTTCAGCTTTGTTGGGCTGACTAAATATTTCCACTTTCTAGCTCAAGGAACATCTGTAACCACTTAAACTTTATTGATGTACATAATACAACCTCACTATATTCTCTCCAGGGTTCAATGCTGTTAGTCAATGTGCTACAGTGGTACATATGTATTTACATGTATATGAGAGTTTCTTTTCTACTTTTCTCATAAAGGATTTTATGGTTTTGCCCACTCAGATCAATGAGTCACATATGTTATTTTCTATTGGACATAAATAGACACACAGTGTGCTTTGCTAGAATGATGCCCCTTTATCTGAGGGGGATATGATTCCATGCACCCATATATGCTCCTAACAATGGACAATAGGGGCTGTAAGAGAAGATGGAGGTCTCCACAGGAGTTAAGGTTTCTCATAATTTTCATATGTTGGAATACCTTGAAGAAGGATAACAGTGGATAATAATTATATGCACACAAAACATATACACATATAGAATTTTATGTATGTGTATAACCTATGAAATATTTAATTAATAAATTATGTACATGTAGAGATTCATAATAGTACTTAATATTGATATGATTATAATAAAACATAAAATTGATGCCATGTGAATTGCCTTTCTCTGTTGCCTCTGTTATTGTACTCACCCTTGTCAAAATGTGACATCATACAAGAGCTATATTGTGTGGTTCAGTTGTTTGATGCAGAACCGGG